TCTTGGCTGTCCATGGGATACTCAGTTCTCCAGCAGCACAATTCAAAGGCATGGATTCTTCTCCTATCATCCTTAGTCATTGTCCAGCTTTCACATGTATAGGAAGTAATTGGGAAGACGAGGGCTTGGATCAGGTGCACCTTAGTCTTTAAACTGACATCGTTGCTCTAGAGCACCTGGAGAGATCCTTGAGAGAACATTTTGCCGTTGCAACATGTCTTTGATTTCTTGACTGCTGTTATCATGCATGTTGACTGTGGAGCCAAGCTCGATGAAATAAATCATTGACAGCTTCAGTCTTTTCTCCGTCTATCACAGTGATGATGTCTTTGGTTTAATGATGACGATTTTTGTTTTCTTAATACTGGGATGTGCTCCATGTTGAAGGCTGTGGTCTTTGATCATCTGCGGCAAATACTTGGTTTGCAGAAGGGCCCGTACGGTTCCGAGGGCTCTAAGTCTTTAGAGAAGCAGACCCTGCAGCTTTCTCCGGGGGAGGGGGGAGCCCTGGTGGGCTCAGACGCAGACATGGGGCTAGCAGCCCAATGCTTTCACCACCGTGCCACCAGCAGCTGTAATACACCTTTACACACTTGAGGATTTCATTCTCCTTAGACAAGCTAGACTACAATTCCTCTTCTTTACTAAGAATTACTTAAACAGTAATTATTTCCTATTTCCCTTAAATTACAGCAGAGTTCTGAACCGTAATGTTGATTGGTACCAAGAGACAGTTCACAACAAAGAAAATAAAATGGAGAAACAGATTTCTTTGTCCTTGGCCAGTGGAGGTTTTAGAAACAACCGTTGGTTTTTGGTTGTTTTTTTTTAGAATTTTAATGAACATTTAAAGAGACTGACTTTCCATTCATTCATTGTTGAACATTTTCCTCCATGCCCACCCCTCTCCCTCAGTTTGCTTTTCTCTTTGAAAAGTAAAAAAAAAAAATTCTTTCATTGTTATACAATCCCCTCCCCACTTCACTCCATTCTGAAGCTTTCATTCTGCACTCCTGTCATGACAATAATAATACCTCATCATATATTTCTCCTGAACAGTTCTCTCCCTCAACTGTTTCAATGCAGTGTACATTATTTATCCCATCTTAGTTTTCGCCCAACCCCGATGTCAGACCTGCTTTACAAAAGTAGCACTATGCCTTATTTGTCCTTTGTGGCTGAAATATTTCACTCAGCATAATGTCCTCAAGGGTCACCCATTTTGTGTAATAGTGCATTATTTTTCAATGCAGCATAGTATTCCATTGTGTGAATATACCACAGCTTCTCCATCCATTCATTTGTTGATGGGCACTTGGGCTTTTTCCAGCTCTTTGCTATTGTGAACAAAGCCCCAATAAACAAGAAACAGCCCATGTTTTAAGAGTGGTTCACGGCTCTCAGACAACAGGAGTCAGAGTGCATAGTAGGTTTGAATCTGTTTAAATATATATTTGTAATTTTAATGTCATATTATTAATCAAAATTCATTAATTAGCTGCTTAGAAGTAAGGGAGCTCTGGTGACCTTAATGGTCAGGAGTTGCACTGCCAACCCAGAGGTGGGCAGTTTGAATCTACCAGCTGCTCCACAGGAGAAAGATGGGCAATCTCGTGTGATTTACAGCCTCTGAGATGCTGCTGAAGGGTCGCCTCTGCGTGGTTTCTGACTGCATCTCAGTGAGGGAGAAAGAGAAAGCCTGCCGGAGGGAGGTCTTTGCTGCTCTGTGGCTGTCCCAGCATCTGGGAGTGGGCAGCAAAAGGAGGGAGGGTTCTTTGGGAACGTTGCTTTGGCCAGCCCAGCTTATTGATTAGCTTTCTTCTGATGTAAGACCACTTTCCACGTTTAGAACATCGGATCAGACTGTGAGGTTTCCACCATCGAGAAACAGCGGAAAGAGCTGCAGCTGCTGATTGGAGAACTCAAAGACCGGGACAGGGAGCTCAATGACATGGTTGCGGTCCATCAGAGACAGCTGCTGGCGTGGGAGGAGGACCGGCAGAAGGTGCTGACCCTGGAGGAGCGCTGCAGCAAGCTAGAAGGTCAGGGCTCTGGGCTTCTGCGGAGTTTGCTGAGGAGGGTTTGAGCTCAGCCCCCTCTCCCCACACTCAGGGCTTTTATGGTGTTTTCTACGGAAGGTTTGCACCCAGCCCCCTTTCAGTACATTGAGGGCTTTTTCAGAGTTTACTAAGGAAGGTTTGTAGGAGCATTCTGATGTCTCATTTTTTTTTAAGTGGCGTTTCCTCCTGCTGTCTGATTAAGGTTATGGAAGAGGCTGCAGTTACAAGCCTCCATTTCCTGGACTTCTTTGTTAGTAGAAGCACCGAAACCCACTGCCATCAAGCTGACTGTGACCCTCAGAGACTCTCCTTCAGGGTTCCCAGGCCGTACGGCTCTGCTCTCTTCCTCCCAGGGAGCAACTGGGGGATTCAAACCACTGACCTTGTGGTTAGCAGCCCAACACCTTACGCACGGTGTGGTCTCTTCTGCACTGCTGGAGTGGATGGTGAGGGAGCCCTGGTGTCACCGTCCGTGGGGAGGGAGGGGTGCTGCTGACCCCAAGGCCTCGCCTCCGGGGCTTCAGTCCACCAGCTGCTCCACGGGAGAAGACGGGCTTCTTGCCGTTGCACTTCCAGCTCCAGAAAGCAGCAGAGGGTCAGCCGGGAGTGGGTTCCAGTGTGTGAACAACGAGAGAGAAGAAACGCGAAGAGACTTCTCTGTGTTCTCTTCAGATAGTCACAGATCAGCACGTGGAAGAGCTGTGTTTCTTTCCTGTCCTGTATTGTGGAGAGTGGTGTTATTTTTAACATCACAGGCTGTAATTTTCACTTTATCCATTTTTTTAAATTTTATTAATGTGTGTGTGTGTGTGTGTGTGTACTGTCAAATCAGATCTGACTGGTGCAGGAGGAGATTGCCCTTCCTTCTCCAGCCAGCAGAGCGTCTGGTGGATTCATACTGCGTACCTCTGGGATTGCAGTGCAGCTTCTTGCCATTAGGCCACCTGAGCTCCCTGCATTTTTTTTTTAACCACTGGTTTTGAAAAGAACTCATTTTAGGTTTCAGATTGGACCACAACTAAGTTCCTGATGCCATTTCCCTCAGGTGAGCTGCATAAAAGAAGTGAGATAATCAGATCGCTCATAAAGAAAGTGAAAGCCCTTGAATCAAATCAAAATGAGTCCCAAATGAACCTGCAGAAGACACAGCAGCAGCTTCAGGAAATGGCTCAGAAGGCGACCCACGCGGCTCTCCTCTCTGAAGACCTTGAGGTTGGTACTTCTCCTGGGCTTCCCTGGGCCACGCTCTGTCAGTGCCTCAGTCCTCGGCAGATCAGACTTCCACGGGACGTTGCCAGTGCATGTCTCTGAACGCAAGGGACTGCGTCATAGTCGTGCGTCCACAGGCAGTTCTGATTAGCCGCACTGAGCTGTCCTGTTTCATTAAAACCTGGAGACCAGGATCATCAAGTTTCAGGGGCTTCAATGATGTGTTCCAAACTGCTGTATCTTATCTGCTGTGATCAAGCAGCGTGGGTGGACGTGGAAAAGTATTGCTTCTGGGATTCCAGTTCACCCATGAATAGGTCTGTTCCAAACCAAACATGTTGAAACACGTCTCTGTGACGGGTGGCTGGCTGCAGGCGACTCCTCTCAGTTACACACTTGTCTGGGTCTCCTTGGGGGACTTGACAAAAGGGCGACTTGTGCTGGCTTCGACAGCACACGTAGTAAAATTGGAATGAAACCGAGAAGATTAGCATGGCCCCTATGCAAGGAGAACACGCAAATTCGTGAAGCGATCCATTATTATTATTATTTTTTTTAAAAAGGAAACTTTTTGTTCGTGGACAAAACAATTCTTATGCTTTCTAAGAGGCACAAAGAGAAATCCAGCTTGTGGGGTTTTTTTGGTTATATTTGTCCTTTTCTTGTTCTGTAATGATAGTCATTACAGATCATAGTAAATAATGATTTTTTCAAATTCCTAGTAATTATAATAATACAAAATTTTTTATGCCTTTTACTTAAATATTAGTCTAAACAAATTCTATATATATAAGTAAAAACTACTCTGGAATTTATGTAAAATTAAAAAAGGAGCCATCATTTTTAGAAGTCTGATTATTAATGATATCACAGTTCTGTCATTGAGAGAGATTGATTTGTGGAAATACTTCAGTATGATGTTATTTTTTTTACTAGTCATATGAATTGATAGTTTATTTTTTTGAAGGTGAAAGGGAAAACAATTTTATTAGAAAAGCTAGGTCCCAGAGAGTGAGGTGGGTCATTTCTTTGAAAGTAAAGTAGAAAAAAAACAAAAGCAAAGTAAAGTAGAGAACGCACTAGTAATTTATTTTTAAAGTAAAAATAAATTTCAAAATTACAGATTGTAGTAAGTGCTCTGATGGAAAAGAGCAAGAAAGGTGCTGTAAGAACAACTGTGAAAAGGAGTACGTGATTATCATTGTATGCAAGACATCGATGTGCGGCAAGGCGTGCATCACAAAGGGGCCTGGGGGAGGGACGAAAATATACAACAGTGAATGAGTGAAAAGACAGCCTTTCTACAAGCTTTCTTTAAAGTCACAATAAAAACAAAATTACAAAAAGAAATTTAAAAATTACAAGGGAGCTCTGGTAGCCTAGTGGCAAGAAGCTGCACTGCAATCCCAGAGGTGCACGGTTCAAATCCACCAGATGCTCTGCTGGAGAAGGAGGGGGCAATCTCCTCCTGTACCATTCAGGTCCGATTTGACGGCACACACACAAAATAAGAAAATAAAATTTTAAAAAAGTTAACTACAAAAATACACAGATGTTCCTGGTGCTACTTTTATTTCAGAGAGCGCACCTGCTTAGTGAGGCGATTCCCGTTCATTCGTCTTTCCTTTCACCCTAAAATAACGCGTAAGATAGACTTTAGGAAGTGGCTGTGTGTGCAGATACGGTGGATTTGCTTGAAGAGCACTGAGGATGCGAGCTAATGGGGAGAGAGAGGCCGTGTTCCTTCCTGATAGCTCACTTAGTGCACTTGGTCCCTAACTCCAGTTAATGAACCAGAATGGAGGTGGAGGGACAAGCAGGCGGCCTGGCTGGGGATGCCTGGAAGCCGCACTCAGGCTGCTTCTGTATGCGCCCCCGCAGGCCAGGAACCAGAACCTGAGCAGCACGCTGGTGGACCTGTCCGCGCAGGTGGGACAGCTGCAGGCCCGCGAGCAGGCCCTCACCACCATGATCAAGCTGAAGGTAAATGGGTCCCGCCGCCCGTCCACCTGGTCCTCGGGAATCGGACTCACACACTCCCCTGACTCCTCCAGCAGCCCACGAGCCACGCTGTCAGAGTCCTCCTTGTGTGTGTCCACACCTACTACACCAGGAAGCCTTGGTGACCTATGAGCTTAGGTTTGGGGCTCTAACTGAGGAGTGAGGGGGCTCTCGAGGGAAGAAGCTGCACTGCAATCACACACGTACACAATTAAAATCCCTCAGCTGCGCGGAGGGAGGAGGGTGGGGGTTTACTGTCCCTGGACACCCGCCGGACCTTCGCTAAAATAGCATAATCACGTCTCTTCTGCTGTGGTCCCTGTCATTACTCTCACCATTTATCTCAGTCCGCCAGCAGCCCAGCCCTCTGTCGGTGCATGGGTCCCAGGTCATAGGGCGCTTCGAGAGCGAGCAGAGCTGCCCCACCGGTGTCCAGGGCGGCCATCCTCTCAGTCCTGGCCCGCCACGTCTTTCCCCTTGTGGAGCCACCGACGGTCAGATCTGGTCTTTTTTTAGGGTGGTTTTTTTCCTCTAATTGCATTTTTTATGGCCCTCCAGCGTTTTGGGTAGTAGAGTCTGCAGCCACAGTGTGACCAAAAAAAACCAAACCCACTGCCGGGCATCGGTGATGACTCGGTGACGGTCTAGGTCACAGGAGGCCTGCCCGTGTTGTCTCCCGGTCCGTCCAGGACCAGGTTGACACAGCTTTCCACGGTGGCTGCTGGGTTCCAACTGCCAGCCTTTCACTCGACAACTCCTTACTTGGGTGAAAGATACTGGGACAGCAGGAAAGACATGTGATTCCCCCACTGCCGTAGTGATTGGAGGCACGCTCGCTTAATAGGAAAGAGAAGAATGTTAACACCAACCAGTTGGTTGTAAGTTAAGAGTGGCCAGTTTAGCAGCTTGACCAGCGTCATGGTTTCTGGCTGTGCACCACTGGAGATCCCAAGAGGCACCTCCCTGGATCAGAGCAGCCCGTACCCCCAGCAGAAGAGTTTTTCTTTGGGCAGAATGACCTATAAGAACCAGGCTCTTTCTGGGTTGCAGTTGTTAAAGGCAGCCGCCCGGAGCCCAGGCGTGGGGCTCAAATGATGGACGGTGGTGTTAGGGGCAGATTGTCTGTTGTTCTTCTTCCAACTATTCTCCTTTCCCAAAGGATTGGTCTCAGAACTCCCTTGTGTTTTAATGATCTGTCCCAACCTTTAAGTCCTCTTCATGCGAGGTTTACAGGGTGTCTTTTTTTAAAGAGGTATGCAGAAAGGCTTGAAATCAGGCAGGGGTTGAATCTACTCATAGATTCTACTTCGTTTTTCCAGAAGAGTTGGGTGAGAGAGCACACGTTTACGTCCTCTTACGCATTTAGGAATTGTGGGAATACAGACGTAGCCCCTTTCCTGCCGTTTTGAACAGCAGCCTCAGAGCCATTCTGCTGTGGGTAGCTGTGAGATAAGAGTTTGGAATCTGTCATTTTAACAGGCTGGAAAGGAGGGGGGAAGCGCTTAACCCCTGTAACACGGAGGCTAACCCCCCTGCCCAGGCTTCTGCCTCCCTCCTACTGCAACGTGCGAGTCTATAGGTGATCTTCTTGTGTGGAGTTTTCTCAGAGACAGAGTTAGGGTTAGGGCTGAACACCAGGTGTCCCGGGCTGGCTGCCTAGGTTCTAATCCCGACTCACTCGTTGTGTCATCTTGGCCAGGTCACCCAGCGTGCTCACCCTGCCTTCTCAACTGCCTTTTGTGGTCCTTCCACCTCGTTGCTGTTGGGTTCCGTTGAGACAGTTCCAGCTCAGTGTTGTCCCACCCTGTTCACCAGAGAATAAACTCCGCCTACACACACACACACACACACACACACGCGCGCGCGCGCGCGTGCACATCTCTTGTTCACCAGAGAATAAACACCTCCTGGCCCCACATTTCCCTTGTTGCTGTTTGAGCTCGTCGTAGCCACTGTGTCCGTGCTCCTGGGAGTCTTCTTTCTCTGACCTTCCACCTGGCGAGCCTGATGCCTTCCCACACGGGGAGATTGTCCATCTTTTTCTCTCACAACAGTTGGTGGATTCAAACCACCTGCCTTTGAGGTGTCAGTGCCCCTCCTTACCACTGGGCCACCAGAATTCCCCACAGAACGTAAGACAAGGCCGCACCACCTTCTCTTCTAAGGAGCTTTCTGGCGGTACGAATTCAAAGACAGGTTTCCTAACTCATTGGTAATATTAGTAAATGCGATGCCTTCAGAAAGAGTGACCGCAGCAGTGGGCCCACACACAGCGATTGTGGGGGTGGTTTTGTGCTCGTGTCCATAGATAGGGTCACTCTGAATTAGAATTAACTCTGTGGTGCCCAGCAACAGGAAAAAAGGTAAGAATGGGAAAATTTTTGGATCCTGTGATTGAAAAGCTGGAGATGGATGATGTAGAGATAGAGATTGAGACAGAGATCTCCAGGAACATAAGTGAGAGCCAGCCGCCTGGCCTCCAGGGCCCGTCTCTCCAGACCGCACGTCCAGCCCTGACCTCTGAGGCGGTGCTGGCTGGACCTGTAGAGCTGTAGCTGCCCCAGCCGCTCGCAGTCCCAGTCTGTGCTTCTCCAACACTGTGCCCCGGAGGCGTCCCAGGCCTTCTCGGGGCTTACTGGTTGTCCACAAGCATACGGGGTGATTGAAGACACTGCTTTGAGGCATGCTTACCTGGGTCCTCGAAATGACGTCTTTGGTTTCAACTGCTTGAGGAAAAAGACTTTTGAAGCAGATTTGCCCAGTGCAGATGTAATAATAGTGCCTGTTTTAGAGAGTTATTACATGAGTTAAATAAGTAATGGATGAAAGTGCTTAAAAGTGGGCCACAGTGAGACAGACCATAATGAGAGTAATGTTTTCTTATTGATCAGTTGGAATTAAAAAAAAACAAAACAGCCAAACCCCTAATAGCAGCTCTTAACGTCAATGTCTTGTTTAGGACAAAGATATTATCGAGGCGGTCAATCACATCGCGGACTGCTCGGGTAAATTCAAGCTGTTAGAACAGGCGCTGCGTGACGCCAAGGTGGCTGAGACGAGCATTGCGAAGGAAAAGCAAGATTATAAGCAGAAGCTGAAAACACTCAAGGTGGAAATCGGTAAACTCAAAGGTAAGGGAGAGGCGGCCACGTGAGCGCTTTGTCTCGGGAATCCTGCTTTGTCAGTAGAGTCACCAGGGAACTGGTGGTGCTGCGGCTAAGACATCTGACTGTTCACAGAAAGGTCAGTGGTTCAAACCTGCCAGCCGCTCTGTTGGAGGAAGGAAGGTGCACCGTGCTTCCTTAAAGGTTTAAAGCCTTGGAAACCTTGTGGGGGCAGGTCCCCTGTCTTTCAGTGTCAAGGTCTTCGTTGTCTCGTGCTGCTAGATGGAGATACCACAAGCCTTACCAAGCAGACGTCTATTCTCTAACAGTTTGGGAGGCTAGGAGTCCAGATCAGGGTTCCAGCTCGAGAAGGAGGCCTCTGTGTGTGTGGGTTCTGGGGAAGGCCCGTTCCCTTCAGCATGTGTAAGCCTAGCAGTCACTGGAGAGCTCTCTGCTTCCCCGCCTTCCTGGGGTGTGGAGGAGCCACCCAGAGTGGGCCCGAGTCCAGAAGGACACACTCGGCCCTTGATAGTTCTTTCCTGGTGGGCTTGAGCCCCCACTCTCAGATCCTTTCCTCCCTGGGCCACACTCTAAGGAAGCACTCCTCCTTCGTTAGATTGTGGGACTTGTTAGCTGGTGGGATTAAGCATCTTTCATCCTTTTACAACGATTTAGTCCATCAAGTCCTAATAGTTGTATAAGATCATTATATAACTTCCTCATGATATCGTCACATAGGTGTATCTGAGGGGGGAGTAAAAGATTCAAGTTGTCAACAATTTCATTTTACTTGGATCCGCAATCAGTACCCTTGGTAGCAGCAGTCCAGAAATCAAGAGACATACTGCACTGGAGTAATCTGCTCTCAAGGACCTCTCCAGAATTCTGTTGTGCAGGGATGTCAGTGTAAAGCCTAAAGTACCTCTGATCCAGGCCATAATATTTTCAGTTGCTTGCTATGCATCTGGAAGTTGGATGGTGAACAAAGATGATAGAAGAATCGCTTCCTTCGAGTTGTGTTGGCAAAGACCACTGACTGTCCAAAGAACAAACAGAGAACAAAAAGAACAAGCAAGTCTATCTTGAAGTGCGACCTGAGTGCTCCTGAGACGCTAGGCTGGGCTCACTGAAGTGGGCACGTTGTCAGGACCAACCAGAGAAAGACAGCATGCTGGGAGAGGCAGCAAAAGAGAGGAAGACCCCCAGCGAAACGGATTGACACGGTGACCACCGCAGAGGGCTTGAGCAGGACAGCGGTCGTGATGGTGACAGGACAGGGCGAGGTGCAGGGCCGTTGTTCACGGTCGACTTGATGGCGCCCAGCAGCGACAACGTTTTGGAGAGCTGTGATTCAATTCGTGACGGTCACCACGAATCGCTGACTCAATCACACTGGGTTAGGGGGTCTGTTGATGACCTCGGATCCTGCCTTGGCTTTCTAGTGCTGCTGTCACAGAAACACTGCAGGGGCTGACTTTAATAAACAGGAATTTGTACAAGGCTATCTCTGTGACAGCGCTGGGGAAAGGGCCTGGTTTCTGCTCAGCCTCTGCTCTTGGCCTCCTCCACGTGGCACGGCAGCTGTCTTCTCCCGCCTCTGCTTCCTAACAGTGTGCTTTGATATTAAAAGAAGCTGACTTAAGACGTAGCCTGTACTAAATCTGCCTATTAGGATAACAAAACTCATTCCCAGCCGGCATCATCATGACAAGTCCAAGGGTGAACACTCACTGCCCATGTTTCCAGGGGGTTCAGTTCAATCCATCACCAGTCCTCACGTGAAAAGTTCCTTTCATCTTTATAGACGTCTCCTGCCACTTTAATTCTACCATCAGATGACATAACAGCTGCGTGGTGCCTTTTCTATATGTAGTTAGAGCCTCAGACCAGCAGCAGAAGGCTCGACCCTCGGCTGTGACAGTGGGCCTCCTGCTGTGCTTGTGCGACCACCCCTCTGAATCGGAACCGTCCTGGCAACACTGAGCTGGTGTCCAGAAGTGACACTGCTCTCCCTTTTAACTCAAGATTGTGGAATTGCTAAATGCCATCTTCGCCAGTTTAATTGAAGAGACTGATCATTCTAAGAACCTTGTTCCGATGCCTTGCGCTGTGGCACATCACGGACCTGCCTCTGCTGAAGAAATCATCATCATCCTCGGAGCCAGTGAGCGTGGAAGGGTTCTGTGCGCTCTCCGTGCATCAGGGGATGTTGTAGGCGCTCTGAACAATCACTGGATGTTTGTGGGTTCCGAGGTCAGACGCCTCGGGGAAGGGAAGGCTGCCACATTCGTGCTTCCACCCTCCACGTCTCTGATAAGGAGCTCTGGTGACGTGGTCTTATGGAGTTAAGGTGCCAACAACCCGAAAGTGGTGCCTCTGCTGCTTCAAATCCAGGAAAGATGGGATTTACAGCCTCTGAAAGCCCGCCACGGGGTCAGCCCTGAGTTGGTTCCACCTAATGGCAATGGGTTTTTGGAGAACGATTTTGTAAATTAAATATTTAATAAAAGCATAAAAAATTACAAATAGAGTGATGGGCCATAGAACAGAAAGTGAGGGCGACAGATGCCCCGGATTGGGCTGCGCTTGGATGATGGAAGTCTAGCTGTCCGAAGACATGGGCCGGGAAGGGCATCGAGCGCACAGAGTGGGTCTGGAGGATGGGACGCGTTCAGGGAAAGAAGGGAGAGATGGAGGGTGAGGAGGGTGGGAAGTGGGGGAGCCGGGTCAGCTGGGGCTCTGCGAGCTGTGCTGTGGGACTTGGATCTCATCCTTGGACTCACTGGCAGGCTTCGCGCTTGGCCGCCCTGGGAGCTGTAAGGAGATTGCCTGCTCCAACTGAGCCACAGATGTGACAGGGGCTGTGGGTGTGTCAGGGGCTCAAGTCAGGAGACAAGTCGGCAACAGGGAGGGAGGACGGGCCTGAACGGGGTCATTGCTGGGGACACAGCGAGCTGGTGGACGGGGCCTTGTTGCCTCTACAGGCTGTTAAGGACCTGGACCCACTGGAAGGGCTGTTGTAGGTAGCTCGTGTTACAGCTCCAAACACCTGGGACTGATTTGGGGCCTTGCCCCCTTTTCTCTTTTTGAAGAGGAGCTGAATGAAAAGACAACGGAAAACAACGACCAACGAGAAGAGATCATTCGTCTGAAGCAGGAGAAGAGTTACCTGCAGGACGAGTTGGTTTTCACAGGTAACTCCAGGAAACCAATTGAAGTGATACAACAGTTAGTTAGATGCTGGTAGGATGGCCCTTCTCAGGCACCCCGCTACCAGACGAGACTGAGACAGTTCCTGGCACCTCGTGAAGGACGGGGAGGAGGCAGAGAAAGAGAAACTTTCAGCCTCTTCCTTAAACAGGCGCTCGCTCTGGTGGTGCAGTGGTTAAGCACGCAGCTCACTGAAAGGTTGCGGGTTGGGGTCCACCATCTGCTCCGAGGGAGGACCGTGTGATGTCAGCTCCCGGCAGGAGGCACAAGTGACCTGACAGCCGTGGCTTGATGACGGGTCATGCCCCGCGTCAGCCGTTTCCTCCTCTGTGGTCCTGCCGCTTGACTGTGGGCCCAGGGCCCCTCTAAAAGCCGATGCTTAGCAGTTCAGTGAGTCTTGTGAGCTGATGAAGGGAGAATGGTTACCACTTTGCGGATGAACTAAGCAAAACTCATTGCACGGAGTCGGTTTCTGCCCCTAGCCGCCTCATGGGACGGGGTAGACCTGCCCCTCGGGGTCCTAGGCTGTCGGCTTAAAGGTGGCCGATGGCCACAGCTTTCTGTGCAAAGAGGCTAGTGGATTAAAACCACTGACCTTTTGATTCATGGCCAAGCATTTAACCACTGTGCTGCCCCACACCCGCTCACTGCTGTCAAGCCAATTAGGACTCATGTTGAACTGTTAACCAAAAGGTTGGTGGTTCAGATCTACTGATGAGAGAAATCTCTGTGTGAGAGAAAGACAGGCGGTCTGCTGCCGTGAGGATTTCCTGCTGGAAACCCAGCTGGAGCTCACAGGGCTGCTGGGAGCTGGAGTCGACTCCGCAGCGGCAGGTGGGAGTGTGGTTGGCAAAGCTGAGGGCCCTTAGAACTGCCCACAGTGTCCACGGTGCTGGGATCTTTACGGATGCCTGCTCTCACTCACTGCTCTGTGGTTGTGTGCTGTGCAGTGGGAGCCAGTTCCTAGATGGCTCTCCAGCGGGTTTTCTGAGGCAGTAAATGGCACAGGAGGAGACTGTCTGTCTTTCTCTAGCACCTGGTGGATTCGAACCACAGGCCTTTGGGACTGGAGCGTACCTTTGTACCACTGGGTCACCAGAGCTCCCTTCAGACGTGCTGGTGGGTTTACCTCACCAACTTTTTGGTTAGCAGTCACGGGCTTTCCCCGCCAAGCTACTGGGACTCATTATTTTTTAAAATTTTTTTTTTGCAAATAAGAAAAATTAGAAATTCAGCCTTTGCCCAGTTTTATAAATAGATTACATATTATTATTTGCAATTGGAAAAATATTTACATTTTTGTTACGTTCACTGATTGCAAAATAAGGAAGTTGGGTGTGAGTTTTTCTTGATTTAAACAAAGCAGGTTTCTCAGTCATGTGTAACATAAAGTCCATTCTAACATAAAAATCTCACCCCACCGCCTCAGCTCATGCCCCGAGGCCCCGTGCCCTTCCGCCCAGTGTCTCAGTGTCCCTGGGGGAGCACCTCTCCTTTGTCCTCCCCAGTGGACAGTCACTGACCTCCAGAGCTCTGTGTCCCTGCCCGCTGGGGAGTTAGTGACCTCTGATGTCTCTAGTTTGTGTCTCTAGATTTAAGAGTTCCACATAGAAGATGAAGTGAAATTTTTTTTCTCTCACTCTATGTCTACCCTTAACCCTTTTCATTCCAGGTTAAGAATACATTCAGAAAAAAAGAAAAAGAATACATTCCATTAAATTAAAGAAAAGAAATATAATAAATGGATTTCCTCATTTCAATTTTTAAAAAAATAAAATAAGGGTTAACTGAAACCCACCAGAGGGGATACTTAGCCAAGGGTTAGAAGAAAGTTCCTACCATGGGAGGGAGCTCTGGTGACTTAGTGGGTAGTGGGGCTGCCAGCCCAACACAGAGGTCTGGAGTTCGAATCCACCAGCGGCTTCACAGAGAGAGGGACAGTCTCCTCCCAGGTGATTTATTGCTTCTGAAAACCTGCTGGAGGGTCAGTTGGGTATTGGTTCAGACTCCATGGCACTTAACAGCCACCACTAGAGGTCACTGTTTCCTGATTATTTTTGGGGTGTCCCCCCCACTCTTTCTTTTCTAGCTCAAATTCCTGTATCTCAAAGTAATGCTACTCTGTGTGTGTGTGTGTGTGTGTGTGTGTGTGTACACCTGCTCATGTGCACACATGCTCTGAGTACATGTTTTTACCAAGCAGCTGATCTTCTGTTCCGCGTTCACACAGGTTGTATGACATCAGTTACAGCCCACATGCCGCCCTAGCACTCCTCCTCTTCCCTCCCTGTGATTCTGGCTTCTGCCCATCCTTCCGTCCTCTCCCTTCTTGGCTGAAAGCAGGCGGGAGCTGGTGACCACGCCTTTGTCACAAGGAACCCCTGAGTGGGTTTGAATGTTGTTTGGTCGCTGACCAGTTTCGAGGCGACGTTTATAAGTTTCATAGTCTGGTGGTCTAATGAATAAGCACTTTGACTGCCAACCCGAAGGCAGGTACGAATCCGCCTGCTGATGCGGGAAGAGATGAGCCGTCTCCTTTCACACCGTTTACAACGTCTGGAAAGCCGCTGGAGTCAGCTGTGAGTCGGTTCAGATCCGACCGTAATGTGTCTAAATGGTAAAAGTGAATTAAGTGTTCAAAGGAGGAGCTCTCCTTGCATAAAGAAGCTCTCACGACGGGCTGCTGTCTGCAGGGTGGTCAGTTTGAATCCACAGCCAACGCGGCAGGAGACCGAGGACCCGTGCTGCTGTGCTGCTGAGATTTCTGAGACCCAGGGAACGCTGAGTTGGCATCAGCTGGAAGACAGGACACTCAGGTTCGGGTTGGCAACTATGCTTTGAGGTGCCGTGGGTAAGAGTTAAACGTCTTCCATTTTCAATTGGAAAATGTCATAACATTTTACCTCTTACGTCCAAAGCTGCTTTTTTCCCCCCATAAAATTTTACCTTTTACGTCCAAAGCTGCTTTCTTTATTCTGTTGAAGAGGAAGTTCTCTCTTCAGCTTGGGGACAGATTTGATTTGTTTATCCAACATGTTTATATGGAGTTTGCAAATAAGATGATGGCATGCTTTATGCTCTGTGAGCCTTGACAAGAGACGCCGAGCCGGTTGCCCTGAGTTGATGGTGAGATGGTGCCACCCCCCCCCCATCCCTGTCCATGTTAGCCTGGGAGGGAGAGGGCTTGCTTCCAGAGCCCCGCAATAAAGTGAACATCAAAATCAAGAGGGTCAGGTGCATCTTTTTGTTTCCCAGTGCATGTAAAAGTCATGTTAACTATACGGTAGTCTGTTAAATGTTGAAAAATTTGAAGCCGTGTAAGGTTGTCCCGAATGGGCCCAGAGACACGGGATGAGCACGTGCTGATGGGTCGACCAGACTTGGGCCACACCATTCAGTCTGTGAAGAACGTGGTGCCTGCAGAGTGCAAGGATGCGCGGTCGGCCTGCGTCCTGTGAATGCGGCCTCCAGGGCCCGAGGGCTCTGTGTCCCCAGTTAGCGAGGGCCATGTCTCCTGGCCTGTGCTGAATGCGGCCCCTGGTGCTTAGTCTGCTGCCCAGGCAGGTGACGCAGAGAGTTCCCCACCTCCTTGTCCTCCAGTCCTGCCCTTTACCCCTCAGGAAAACAGACCCTCTGGTCTCCCTGCTAAGCCCAGCTGGGGGGCTATAACATCTCAACTAAGGAAACATTTGTGTCTGCAGTAGAATTGCCTTTTAAGACAGGAACCCCCCTGGAGTAGTGGTTAGAACACCTGGCAGCTAAGCTCAGGTTTGGCAGTTCAACCGTACAGGCTGCTCCAGGGTGGAAGGATACGGCTTGTTTCTGTAGAGTTACAGCCTCAGACAACCCCCCCCCCTTTGCATCTGTGCCCCTCTGTCCTGCAGTGAGTCCCCAATGAGTCAGAAGAGGCTTCACTGCTGCGGGCACCCTGGACTGCGCTCAGCCGGTCCTGCAGTTTGCTGGGTGATGTTGCAGTCCCATGCTGGAGCGACACTTGTCCCACTTCCTCCCTGTGTTAACCACGTCCATTCGTCCTTTTCCCATCTCGTCTCGTCTTCCGAGCTCTGTTTGAGGGCAACTGCTGCTCATTTAATCTCCCCCTACTGATCGTCCTAAACGGACAATCTGTAAGAAACGGCACCGCTGACCAGTCGCTGGCCATACAGTAGTCCTCACTCTTGGACCTCCCAGGGCCCCCTGTGACCACGGCGAGCAGGTGCAGGACGGCCGTTGTCATTTAGAAGCAAAGCACACGTCTTGACCGCTCACTGGTTTTGTGATGTTCAGGGTGTACAGCAAGTAGTAATGTTTCTCTTCTGCTGCTTCTGTGAGAAAAATGACGGAAAAGGTGTCTTAGGAAAGAACTGTGGCTCTGAGTCGGGAGCCCTTCTTTCCTTAACCTGGTTCACGAGTCCTTCAGGATTGTTTTACTCATCCGATTGGAGCATCTTGGAAAGGTAGTGCTTTCCCCCTAACTGGAAGCATTTATTGTTGAGTCCTCAGTTTTGCGTGAAATGGATTCTTTAAGTGTAATAGTAATGTTTTTTCTGATGTAAATTATTTTCTTCGTGGGGATTATCACGTGCGTAGTTTTGAAAGTTTTCCTTGCGATACTGCTTTGCCATCCCCCACCTCCGGTGTTCCCTACTCAACCCGGTCGTTGCGGGCCGCCCCTCAGCTCTGTCGGCACTCAGACATTGAGGACTAGCTCGCTGCATTGAGCTGTCCCAGCCCCTGGCACCCCCCGTTGGGTTCCTGAGACTGTGATTCTCGGTGGACGGGACTGCTGGGTGGCTACTGGGTTCCAGCTGCCCACCTTTGCGTTAGCAGTGCAGTGCATAATGCACTACACCACCAGGGCTCCTCAAGAAATTTAATATATTACCTAGCAGGCATGTGGAGGAAGTCCTGACTCACAGGCAGTTACCAGATGAAAATAGGCTTCAAGATATAGCAAGGCATTAACCACAGAAGACATTCAGATGGCGAACAAACACATGAAGAAATGTTCAAAATCTCTAGCTGTAAGAGAGATGCAAATCAAAAACAACTATGAGATATTGTCTCACCCCAGTAACAATAGCAAAAATCAACAGAGTAGCAAACAACAAATGCTGGCGAGGTTGTGGAGAAACCAGAATCCTTATTCACTGTTGGTGGGAGTGTAAGTGGTCCAACCACTATGGAAGGCAGTATGGCGCTTTCTCAGAAAAGTTGGAAATAGAAATACCATTTGACTCAACAATTCCACTACTTGGAATATACTCTAAAGAAACCAGAACTGCCACCCAAACAGATATATGCACACTCATGTTTATTGTGGCTTTGTTCACAATAGCAAACAACCCAAGTGCCCATCGACAAACGAATGGATAGAGAAGCTGTGGTATATAATGGAATACTACGCTGTATTGAAAAACAAGGAACTCATGAAATATTATGTAAAATGGAGGACATTATGCTGAGTGAAATATCTCAGTCACAAAAGCACAAATATTGCATAGGGCCACTGTTGTAAAACGCAGCTGACATCAGGGTTGAGGGAAAGACAGAAACGGCGGGGGAGGAATGATGTATACTGTATTGAAACAGATGAGGGAGAGAACTGTTTAAAAGGGACAGATGAATGGGTATTCTTGTCATTACAGAAATCCAGAATGAAGGCTGCATAGTGGAGTGGACTTGGCGGGAGGGATAACAATGAAAGAGTTTTTATTTTACTTTTTAAGGAGAAGAATGAACTGGGGCGGGGTGGGTGGGCCGGGAGAAAAGTGCAACAATGAATGACTAAGTCTCTAAACTTTGATGAAAATTATTTTTAAAAAGTAACCTGCATAGCATGGTTATGAAAATACCTTGCCAAAGAGGACAAAGTTTTTTTAAAAAAACATAAAATGCCCATTCCTTGAGTGAAAATGCAGTCCGTGGGGTCATGTTGACAAGAGCCACTGGAAAGGGGAGATCAGAGACCCGGGGGGTGATGGATTCAGATCCGTTGGGTGGACATCTCTGCGGAGGAGGCTGAGAAGGGCGCACGTCTGGCAGAGTGCAGTCCGTGGACTGGAGCCTGGACTAGCCGTGGAGGCTGGAGCCGCCGTGTGTGTTCTCAGCAAGAGTCTGATAAGTTACGTTTTAGGGGACAACGTCTTTAAATGACTTAAACTGTCTGTAAGGGAGTACTAGGCCTTAATGAAGGAGCCCAGCGGTTGGACATTTGTCTGCAAGTCAGAAGGTCAGCGGTTTGACCCCAGTCGTCACTCCGCAGGAGGAAGATGAGGCTGTCGGCTTCAGTAAAGACGTACAGCTTTGCAGACCCAGCACAGCACAGAGATCTCTCTCTGGTCGCGACGCGTCAGAATCGGCCTGATAGCAATGTGCCGCCTGAGGCTGGGCCTTCGTGAATCTAGAAATCGTGTCCGGGCGCCTCCTGGCCACGGCTGTCCGTGGTCAGGGAGGGCGCCCGGGGAGCCTGTCAGAGATGCTGTCTGCTTGATTACATAATGACAAAAATATAGTGTCCTCCTCCCGCCCCCACCAGGTGGGGTGTTCATCTGTTTGTGTTGACGGAGGTAACCCAGCATTTAGATTACTTGCAGTGAAAATGCACTCGGGAAAATAACAAAAAAACCATTGAATTAGTGGCTAGGTGTTGTGGAGTCGGTTCTGACCCGTGGTGGCCCTGTGGACGACAGAAGCCTCCCTGTACCACAGTCACGGTCATTGCCATGTGAGAACCCATCGTGCTGCCATTGTTCGTGCGTCTCGTTGACGGTATTGCTCCTTGCCACTGACCTTCTACCAAGCATCATGTCCCCCTCCAGGAACTGGCCCCCGTACAGAAGACTGTCTCCTCGCCCTTGGCTCCAAGGCGGTAAATATGCAGTAACTACAGAGATCTGGAAGTCACTGTCTGTCCCGTCCCCTCCCCTGAAAAAGGACGAAGGATTGTCTTTAATCCTCCTGTCCGAAAGTAATGAAGCGATTTCTCTCCACACCTTATGACCCTTGCTCTCAGACTGTTTCTGCATTCATGTGAGCACTCACATGTGAATGGAATCAGGGCCTGGACCCATCTAGACTTTTCTGTCGTAGCATTGATGGTTACATTGTGAATGGCTTCCCATTTGGTGAGGAACCGAGCCAGCCGGCAAGCGCAGAGACCTTCTCAGCCAGCCTTTCTACAATTTTAAAATCAGGGGTGAAGTCGGGCCTGAGGGGATGTTAGAAAACTGAGCCTGAAGCTGCCTGGGACTGATGGAGACATTTATGGTGATGGGATGGGTTTTTTTGAAAATGTTTTGTACTATTTGTTTTGAAACAGTAGAAAGAGAAAAGCGGAAGGATGACTTGCTTGATATCGCGAAGTCCAAGCAGGAGCGCACCAGCACGGAGCTGCATAACCTGAGGCAGGTATGTCCCTGCGGCTGGGCCCAGTGGGTGGTGGGCGGGGGATGCTGGCCCACACGTGGCCGACCACAGGGAAAGCACGCCTGGTGGCTTTACTTTTTAATGTCGCGTTGGAGAATTTAGTACGTTCAACATTTGTCATGTTTTGCGTCCCATTAAAGGTCTTTCTTCAGGTAACGAATGGTTTGGAGCCTGGTTGTACTGGCACATAGGAGATGTGAATACAGACATGCTTACTCTATTTCCTGGGTCACAGTGTGAGCTGTGCTGGAGTTAGAAAGTGCCAAGCTGATTTCCTTGTTTTTCAGTGCTGTGTAGTATTCCACTGTGTGAATATACCAGAGCTTCTCTATCCATTCATTTGTTGATGGGCACTTGGGTTGTTTCCAGCTCTTTGCTAATGGGAACGAAACTGCAAGAAATATGGGTGTGCATGTATCTGCTTCGGTGGCGGATATGGTTTCTTTAGGGTAAATTCCCAGAAGTGGAATTGCTGGGTCAAATGGTATCTCTATTTGCAGCCTTTTGCGAAAGTGCCATACTGCCTTTCCAAAGTAAGTGGATGACTCTGGAGGACATTATGCTGAGTGAAATATCTCAGTCACAAAAGGACAAATATTGCATAGGGCCACTGTTGTAAAATGGGGCTGACATTGGGATTGAGAGAAGACAGAGAAGAAGGGGAGGAATGATGTTTACTGCATTGCACCAGGTGAGGGAGAGAACTATTTAAAAGGGATGTGTGATTAGGTCTCACTGTCATGACCGGAGTCCAGAATGAAGGCTGCACAGTGGAGTGGACTTGGGGGTAGGGATTGCATAGCAATGAAAGAATTTTTCTTTTACTTTTCAAGGAGAAAAGTGAATTGGGGGGAGGGGGTGGGCAGGGAGAAAAGTGCAACAGTGAATGACTGGAAACCCTAAGTCTCAGTAAACTTTGATTAAAGTTAATTAAATGAAAGAAAGCACCACGCCGTTGGCTCGACTTCGTGCCACACTTCCACTCCTGGCTTATTTCTCGCTCTATGTGGCAGATATACGTGAAGCAGCAGCGTGACCTGCAGTTCCTTCACTTTAATGTGGAGAATTCGCACGAGTTAGTGCAGCTGTGTGATTCCAAGGTAGAGGAGGCAAAGGCCCTGGAGTCCAGGTAAGACGCTGGTGTCGTCTGTCTGTCTGTACTTTGTCTTCCTGCGTGTCTCCGTTGAGTTCTTTAGCATAGCGATTGTAGCTTATAAAACAAGACCTGATCTTAGGAGTCGAGGCATTTTCCTCCGGGTTTTGTTACTTGATCAATTAAAACCCCCTGCGACCGTGCCAGTTCCACTGCCTGGTGACCCCATAGGACAGGGCGGGACTGGCCTCAGGACTCCCGAGGTCATAGTTCTCCCCGGAAGCTTTCCGCCCTGCAGTAGTGGCCTGCGGTTTCAAGCCCCTGACCTTTTGGTTCAGAGTGCAGCCCCTACCCCTCCCAGCTACCTGGGTGCTCACTCGATGAACAGAAATTCATCACGCCTTCCTTGTGTGTCTTGAGTAGTCGCATTTTTGCACTGGAATAAAAATGAGACGAACCGTTTATGCGGTTCATTGATGTTTACTGCAGACTCGAGGGTGCGGGGCGCAGGGCGAGAAGCAGGGACTCAGAGGATGTGTATCTGGGGCTGGTTTGTATCCAGAAGGAGGTGCCCTGGGAGTTCCAAGGACCAGAGCTGTCATTCCTAGCCAGGGATGATCCTTTTCTCCCCTGATTCCTGTTCACGGAAGGCAGTTCAGAGCGTGGTGGCCCAGTGGGGGAGGCGCTTGGCGTGGTGGCGTGAACCTGTCGGCTGCTCCACAGGAGGAAGTCAGTCGGGTCCGTGTCCTTCCCGGAAGATTGAGCCTTCCAGACCCCCAGAGGCCACCCCTGTGTTGGCAGGTCACTGCAGTGCTGGGGCTCCGTGGGTGTCGCCTTGTGCCATCAGTTCCCCTTCCCTGACGGACTCTGCTTTCTGAACATCATCCCCGCCAGGCGACATCTGGGCTCAATGCGCTGGGTTAGTCTTTAAACACCTAACATCTCTCGTGCCATTATAGGACAGGGTGGTGTTTTCCTTGGGCCCAGAATCCTGCAGCTCACGTCAGAGGATGATTTGGTTAAAAGGCTTCTTGCCTTCCTGGCACTTTGGGCTTATCTTTCCAATTGGCTTTCCGTCTGTTCGTAGCAGCCAGACCTCCCCGGGTCTTGGTCTGAAGGGGAGTGCTGGCAGTTCACGCAGGAGCCTTTGCAGTCTCTGAGTGGCCAGCATCCTCTAATCCTGGCCTTGCCTCTACTGTGAAAGTGTGGGGATTAGGATAAATAATCCTGAGGCATCAAGGCAGCTCTTAGCCCCTGTGACCCCTCCACCCAGCAGCAGGGGACTCGGTCTGCTCCTGCCCCGTCCAGGAATCTGCAGGCCCAGAGCCCCTGAGTGGACATTAGGAGCTGTCCTGGACACCAAGGGCATTAAACCGTTCCCTTTGGTCAAGAGAAACTCACGAATTGGCTGAAGAGCTGGGGTTTGTGTGTAAAGCAGGGGCCGTGCTGTTGTGGTAGGACGTCTGCTATCCGGTGAACTAGCCTGAACACAGTTGGTCGATGCTGTCGGTGGGTTCAGGGTGCGATTTACTCAAGGACGAGGAGTGGGTGTGAATGTGGCCTTGGTGAAGGGAGAGGCTGCACACAAAGGGACCAGTCTTGCTGGGATCAGCCTGAGCTCTGATGGCATAGTGAGCTCATGCTGGGCCGCTAACCAAAAGGTCGGTGGTTCAAATCCACCAGCTTGCTCCTCAGGCCAACACCGGGCAGTCTCCCCTGTAAAGATTCACGGCCTCAGTGACCTGACGGGGGTTCGCTGCGCGTCGGGCCGACTTGGTGGCATTTGGGTTCGGGGTTCTGGAGTGAGGTGTGGGTGAGCTGTGGTGGTGACGCCGGTGCCTGGTGCCTCTTGTAACTTGCATTTCTTGTGACGCCATCGTAGCGGAGACATGTGTTTAGCAGACCTTGAGAATAGCCACTCAAAAGCCGAGGCTAAGCGCTCCAGAGAACAGCAGTTACTGGTCAAGGACCAACAGTTTGAAACCCTGGTGGTTCAGCAGACGCGGTCCGACAGGAGCCCTTCAGACGTCTGCAAAGAGAAGAAGGTGCTGGCGGGCGCCTCGCTGGGGGTCAGGAGCGTAACCGCCTTCGCCTGTCTGTGCGCCAAAGACTCCATGCAGCGGCACAAGTCCTGGCCTCCGAGGGGCCGATTCCACACCGAGCCTGAGAGCAGAGGCCCCCTGTGCAAGATCCATGCCAGGTCCCCCCAGGAGACCGAGCCCGGGCGTCCGGGCCCAGAGAACCCGCCGCCTGGGGCCTGCCCGGCCGGGGAGAAGCCATGGCGCGACGTGAGCGTGTACCTGGGCCTGACGGGCTGCCCCGGCTGCACCAGCTGCAGGGACTCACTGGCCGCTGACGCTGCAGAGGCCCGGGCCGAGCCCTGCTGTTGCCGGGACCCCGGTGCCGGCCTGGCTGAAAGCGACGCCTGGGACTCCCAGTGCTGCCACCCGAGCAACTTCATCGTCGAAGCCCCGGGCCACGTGTCCGACGTGCAGTGGATGAGCATCTTCAAGCCCCGTCAGACGGAGAGGATCGTCCGGCGCAAGTCCACCTGCTCTTGTGCGGACAATGTCAGTGGGGCAAAGTACGACCCCTTGGAAAGGTGAGTCGTGGGCATGCGCTTGTGCACCCTAGACGTCCTGGGGAGCAGCCCCGAGGGACCCCCTTTGTGCCTGCTGTGAACCAGAGCATCCGTGAAACCGGAAACTGGCTTCTGGCAGAGAAACAGCAATGGCCCCTCGCAGCACTGCCCCCCCAGGCTGGCTTCTTTCTATACAAAGAGACTCTTATTAAGATGCCGGTGACAGTGTGTGCCTGGGCGGCTCCTGGGGCAGAGGTCTCCCTGCCTTAAATGAGCTTGGCAGCTATGTTTTATTAAACAGCAAATGGGTGGGTCACTGTTGAGAGTGAAATGCTGCTCTGGGACATTCCTCGCCCCAGGATGCGTGTGGACCAGGCAGGCTGACCCTTGCCCATCTGGTTCCATTCCCCGGGCCCCAGAGGAAGAGCCCTGTCTCCCTGCCCGGGCACTGGCATGGCATACCTGCCTGGTATCTGCCACCACCAGGTCCCCGGGCACTGGTGTGGCATGCCCACCTGCCACCCCCTGGGGGTCAGCCCATTCTTATTTTTTATTTCCCAAGATTCCTGCCTCCTTTTTTGTGTTGTGTTTTTAAAAATCATACAAGAGAAAGAATATTTGCACTTAACATGCTGGTAAAAGCTGCTTGGTTTTTAAGATGATGGATTTGTCGTCGGCACGTGCCCCGTGTCCACATGCCCCTTGTTAGAACTGCTGACTCTGTGGTTAAGTGGCTGTGATGATGGCCGCCTGTTTGAAATAAAGCCTCACTCTCTGGGCTTTAATTAGAGAGAGTGGGACGTTCTATATTGGGAGCCTTCTTGGATGGGGCTTTAAGACTGAAATGTCTTCCCAGCCTGACTAATATCTGGGCTCTTCTTGGACCCAGCTGTTTTTTTCTACTCGTTGCAAATGCTTTTAAAAACCAAGTGGCAAAAAAAGAACCAAGTGGCTTCTAGTCTTCACAGCTCTGCTTGAGTTTAAAGCTCTCTCTAAAGGTTGCCCGTGCCTGGTGACTCCCCAGGAACCTCGCGGGATGGGGACAGCATGTGGGCGGACAGTGCCTGTGACACGAGGAGACATGCAGACCCGTGGAGGCCTTTCCAGAGGCCCTCATGCCCTCTCTGCCTTGAAGTGGCCACCGGCTCTGCCAGCAGGGGCACATGCCAGGGCATCGCGTGACCAGCGTGTGACGGAGGAGGAAGAGAATTCTGTTTTCTTATTTCCCTTTCGACTTTAAGAATGTGTGTACCTACTTCTTATCTGACGAGAATGACCACATCCAGGCCGCCTTTCCCCGCGGTCAGCTCCCCATAGAGGTTCCCTGAGGGCGGGCAAGCCCGGGCGGCTGCTGTTCCCGTGATAGTCACGCCATCGAGCGGGGTCTGGTGGCCCTGGCCAGTACCAGGGGAGCGTCTTCTGCCCACTTGTGCCTGGATCCTGAGAGCTGACCTACGAGCAAATCCCAGAGCAGAGTTAAAGAGCTCCCACCATGCTGTTCTGTTCCTTGGATACTCTAAATGCCCCAGGCAGTGCCCAGGCTGGAGGCTGAGGTGCTCACAGCTACACGGCCTTCTTCCCTTGGTTTAATCTGCTCCTGTGCCTGGCCCCATCTGTAGGGTGTCCCCTTTCAGCTGTGTGGGATTCCCTGTGGTCTCTTGTTAGGCCTCACCAGGTATTTGGCAGGTAGTGTGTGTACACCAGGAATACACCTTGCAAAGAGTGTGAGTTCATTTGTAGTTGTCCTACCCAGACTTAACTAAGAGCCTTTTTGTCCGAGATTGTTGGGGACCCTGCTTTGTGACCCCTGGCGGTGTTTGTGTTTCTCGTTGCCAGTGACCCGGGTGTCACCGCCCACCACTCCTCGTGTCTGGTTTCATCGAGCTCCACCTTAAGAGAGGACGAGAAGTTCCTAGAGACGGACTCCGCTTCCTTCAAGAAGAACCCTTCCCAGGTTCTGTTCCCCAGCCAGGACACAGCCCTGCCCGGCGTGAAGGTGGGTACTGACGCGCCCCCGGCCTCCCGCCAGCCGGCCTGCACCGTCCGTGCTCTCTTTACTTCGGGCCTTTTCTCAATTTTTAAATGATAAGACGTTATTGGTCCTTTAACATAGTCATCTCATTTCCTCCCCCCCTTCAAGAATGATTATCATGCCTTTAAGGCAACTTGATACAATTTCATTGTTTAAAAAAAAAATTGACACACACACAGTGACACAAAAACATACATCAAGGCATTGTTCCTCCACTCCTGAGGGGGAGAAATGTAGGAGGTTAAAAAACCCACCAGGCTGATCTGATCCAAAGTGAGGAGAGCCTGGAGGCTGTGGCCCTTAGACATCCTCCAAGCCTGGAGTGGAGCCCAGCCTCTCCCCACGGCTCACCTGGCAGTCAAAGAGTAGGCAGGCTTGTGAGGTGAGGGGACAAGGCTGTCCTAGAGAAGGAACGGCCAGAGCACTTAAGTGAGGTGAGGGGACAAGGCTGTCCTGGAGAAGGTATGGCCAGGGTGCTCCTTGGAGGCGAATGGACAAGGCTGTCCTGGAGAAGGAACGGCCAGGGTGCTCCTTGGAGGCAGGAAATGAAGCCTCATCTCATGTATTTTGGGCATGTTATAGGAGGGCTTGGTCCTTGGCAAAGGACATCATGCTTGGAAAGGTAGGACAGTCAGCAAAAGAGAGGACCCTTGACAAGACGCATTGACACAGTGACCGCAGCAGTGAGCTCAGACCGATCAGAGATGATGAGGACGGCACAGGATAGGGCAGGGTGCAGGTGTGTTGATAGGTCTGTGAATCCTGGTCGGCCCGACAACACCTCACACCCACAGCATCAGTGAACAGAGCACCTGGGAGAACTGTCCATGAGAACAACCAGTCACAGAGAGGAGAAGGGCCGTGTTTGCCCTCGGGGAAAGCCTGGGCACAGAAAGAGGGGAAAGCCTGGGCACAGAAAGGGAGTGAAGCCTGGGGACAGGAAAGGGGGGAGCAGGCAGACCCGTGGGAAAGCGGATCACAGGGGAGAAGTGAGAGGAATCCGATTAGAGCATAGATAGTGTCCTTAAAGGTCTCAAACCAAATGGGTAGCAGTGGCTCAGTGGAACCAGTTGGCTTTGTAAATTTTTACTCAAAACATACAAAATATTTTAAAAAATACATCTATCAGGGAGCTCTGGTGGCCTAGTGGCAAGAAGCTGCACTGCAATCCCAGAGGTACTCTGTTTGAATCCACCAGACGCTCTGGCTGGAGAAGGAGGGACAATCTCCTCCTGTACCCATCAGATCTGATTTGATGGTACTAATAATAATAATAATAATAATAATAATAATAATAATAATAACAACTAAAATTTCTAGCAGAACCAAAACACATACAAACTATGATTCTATTTTTTCCTAAAAACAAAAGGTAAAAGGTGGGATGAGGAGGGGAGCATATGCCCAGGGATAAAACTCAGAAGAAAGGACAGGGTAAAAGAGGAGGAGGAATGGAAATGGGGAACACAGGGAGGGAGAGGGAAGGGTGCTGCTACACTGTGGAGGTTGATCAACATCGCGAACAGAAGGTGAATGGATTGTTGAGTGGAAAGCCAGTTTGCTCTGTAAACTTTCATCCAAATCACAACAGTTATACACACACGTCCATCTCACCTGACTGACTGTGCCCAGCCCCCTTTCCTTCGAGAACACACACGCGGGCAGCCGTGTTCGTCCCCAGAGCCACAGAGGTCACTGGCAAGCCTAACGACAGCCCTGTCTGAAAAGATAGCCTTGCTCTGCAGTGTGTAATATGTGGCCTGGATGGGAACACATCACGTCAGAAACTTGGCACGTTTGTGGCTTAACCAAGATGCCACATCCAAATCTCCCTGCTGTCAGAAGCTAGCAAAGGGTCCGGAATGCATCAGAGAAAGCGGAGACGGCCTCCCTGCCTCCCGCCTTGGACCGTGTGCGTGTTGGCTTCCAGCGTTTCTATGGAGAAGATTCCAGAATTTCAGCACGGTAAAGCAATTTTAAAGCTCAAAGTCTTTTTTTACGTAGACATCTTACTTTTCTTCCAAGATGCCATCTGCTCTTTCCAGCCTCCTCAAACCCACTGGAGGGTCAGCTGTGAGTCAGCGCTCACAGCGAGCGAGAGGTTCGATGAGGAACAGGACTAAAAAGCTTCCGTTTGAAAAATGTAATTTTTCGAAAGCTTCACTTCCACAGGAGGGTTTGCTTCTAACATATAAGGGGCCCGAGGTTGCGGAAATGCAGGGCTGGCCAGAGCCAGAGTTTTCAGGGCATGTTCTCTGGGCCAGCACCATCAGGACCCCTGGGATGCTGGAAATCCTGAGGCCCCCCAGGGCCTCCCAGGTCAGGCTTGCCTGGGTGGACCCTGCCATCTGTACATGGGCCCCAGGTGACAGATGCTCACTGGGCTGTGAGGACCTCCGGGTTAAGCCTCACCTCCCAACATCCTGCCCTGTGGTTGGGTGGCTGTCACGCCTGGGTCGTTTTTTCTCCCTTGAAGGGCTGGGTGGGACACCTCTTAGCAGCTGGCCGGTTTAGATTTCCTTCCTAGGTAACACGGCACCTGTCGGGCGCTCCAGCGAATTCATCATCTTCTAGCTGACTGATCATCTTTAAAATTAATGTTGTTTAACATGCAGCACAAAGACTGTAACAAGCGTTTGTATATATGGACCGTCAGGTTGAGTGGATATTTATGTTCTATATTTACCTTTATGTAAATATAAATATGTAAATATAAATGTTTTGCCACATTCCCCCTCCCCCCCACATTTGCCTGGTTTCTGTTTTTAAAGTAAAATGTTAACGATACCATCTAAGGGATGACATCAGGAAGTGCCCTCTCTCTGTCTCCACAGTTACCTGATGTTCTCAAGTGAGTTTCTTGCCTGTTTTCATGGTGTCACAAATAGAGACCAAGAGAGAGGCATGCCTGGTGGTCTAGCGGTAGGATTCTCGCCCTGTGTGCGGGAGACCCTGGTTTGCTTCCCGGCTGAGGTACCACATACACAGCTGCCTCTCTTCTGGGAGTCAGTGGAATCTTCTGTGTCCTGTGATGCCAGTGACACCCATGCCGACACCATGGACCCCACTTGGTCACTTTCCGGGCTGGTGCCTCTGAGAGTGCAGCGCAGCTTCTTACCACGAGCTCCCCGGAGCTCCCTCCTGGCATGTGGGACGTGAAGAACACTCAACATTGAAAAAACCTCACACACAACTCATTGCCATCAAGTCTAGTGTCGAGCTCCTTGCTATGAAATGAGGGCCAATCCCTGACTCACCACTGATTGGGTTTCTGAGACGGTTACTGCCCAAGAGGAGGTCTCCCATCTCTCCCACAGAGCAGCTAGCGGACTCGAACCGCCAGAGAGCCTTGGCCTTTGCGTTAGCAGCACGACTCCCAAGAGCTTCCTTAAGTCTCTAACTTGTGGCGACTCCATGTGCTACAAAGTGGAGCTGTTCCTTCAGGGTCTCTGATGGGCAGTGTTTTCCTTCAGTCCTGCACAGGATTGCACGGGCGGAGTCCTGTCTGGCTGGACGGGCCCTGAGGACGGACGTAACAGCAGCAGATCTTCACAGAAGCACAAACAGCAGCAGATCTTCACAGACGCACAGTCAGACCTTTCTTTGCCAGTGCTGGGGGGGTGGGTGTGAAAGCAGCGCCTGCAAGCCAGTGGTGTTGGACGAGTGGAGTGTGACTCCTCGCCTCCCCATGACAGGAGATCTGAACCGTGTTCTCTCTGGCGCCGTCCTCACCAGCTCTGCTGGGTCGCTCCGTCTCATGGAGGCCCTTCCTTCGCCAGCCCCCTGCTTCGCCGAGCACGATGTCTTTTTCTAAGGACTCACAGCCCCTAACAATGTGCCAAAGTATTTGAGACAAAGGTTCAGGTCAGTCTTGGTCAACAAGGGGCAGAGGAAAATCAGGATAAGACAAGAAGAACCAGGGCTCTCCGCTTCCGAAAGCACTGGCGTCTGGAGCGGACACCCTGTCGGCCGGCGGTTCAGTTGTGATGGACCATCGAGTCGGAACCGACGCAGAGCTGAGCCTCCAGCGATTGTCAGGGGCAGTTAACCACTCAGGAGGAGAAGGCCCATCGCTCTGTGGAGCACCTGGTGGATTCGAGCTTGTAGACTAACAACACAACTCCTTAGCGCTTTCTCAGATGCAAGTCTGTGTCCACTCGAGGACCTCTGTCACTCTGTCAGGTGATGCTGAGCCCGTACAAGAGGCCGCGGCCCCACCAGCCCCGTGCTGACCTCACCGTCAGCTGTGCTTAGACCCGCGGCTTTACCCACCCGGGAGTGGTCCATCTCACCAAGGGCCTTGCACTCCGTGTCGACCTGCTTTTCCCAACAGGATGTCTTTCCCGGACACGGGACCCTCGGGATAACAGACCCAAAGGACGTGAGATGAAGTCTCGCCGTCCTCTCTTCTGAGGAACACCTGGCTGCACTTTTTCCAGGACAGGTGTGTTTGTGTATGACAGTCCATGAGGTCGCAGGACTCTTCACCGGCACCACAGTCCAAAGGCACGGCTTCTTCTTTGGCCTTTCTTACCCATCGTCCAGACACGTGAGGCCGTCAAGAATGCCATGGCGAGGGTCAGGCACACCTCAAAACCACAAGGAAACACCGGTTTGTGCCTGTTCCAATACCTGTCTGGTGTTTAGCAGGTCAACAGTGTCACGTGTTTACAGGGTTCTGGATCAACCAGAACTCTGACGCACGCTGGGCCTGGAAGGAGCCCTGGTGAGGAAGTGGTTAAAGACTAGCTCACCAAGATGCCGGTGATGGGATGGTGAGATGCAACGACCACGTGAGAAACACTCGGCAGGTGCTTTGGGACTTAGGGCTTTGTTTTAAAAGTTAAATATAAACCTACCACGTTGACTCCGAGGTATTTATCCAAGAGAAATGAAATCATAGGTCGACACAAAGACCTTTATACATTATTGTTTGTAGCAACTGTATTCCTTTTCAAAAATCCATAAAGAGGTCAGATGTACCTTAACAGGAGAATAGATAAACAGTGTTATTATAGCTCTAAAAGGGAATACGTCTCATTAATTAACCACGAGAAGACTGTTTCTACACAGAGCTGTGTGGGTGGATCTCAGACTGACTCCACTGAGAGAGAGGCCAGCAGGGCTGACGCATACACTGCGTGGAATCCTTTTACAGGAAATTCCAGGAGATGCCAACCGACAGTGACAGCAGATCTGTGATTGTCCAGGGGTGAAGGGAGGGCAGAGCGAGAGATGCGTCCACTGTCCAAGCGTGCTGGTGGTCTGGTGGGTGTCTGCATGCGTCAGAACTCGTCCACTGTGCACCAGTTACACCTCCATAAAGCTTTACACGCCAGTACCCAGGTTTGTTCTTTTTCCGTGTTGGACCTGGTTTTCTGAGGCTGTGCCTGACATGTCCTAACCCTAACCCTGAAACACACGAGTTCATTCATTCAGCACATACTGACCAGCTACCGTCCAGGCAGGACAGCCGCTGTGGCCATGATGCTGAGTATAAGAGAGTTCAGAAAGATTTACGCCCCTTTGAGAACAGTGATGAGACTCATTGTCATCCTAATTAAAAAACCCCCGGATCTCAGAATTACGCATTAAACGAGGACAGGTGGAACACAGGTCTTAGTTTCGTTTTGAAATCGTCGTCAGGAAAATCCACGTAACTGAAGACATCTCAACAATTCCTCATCCTCTTTGGTGATGTTGATTATACCCCTCACATATTTTAACAAGCTTACAAGTCTTCCCTGTGCAACAGCAAAGTTCCACTTTGCAGGTGTTTTGACCTGCTAATTATGTCATGGGAAGTTGACTTCGGGCGCTGGAGCTAAATAGGCCTTGGGACTTTTAAATCACGAGGGTGCCCTTCTGTTCATTGCCCCTCAGAGGTAACTCTGTTTAGTCCAGTTCCTCAGCAGTGAGTTGAAGCAGCAGTGACTGGGCTGTCAGGGCGGCTGCCTGAGGTCTGTCCTCTGCAAGCCCCCGGGCAGACAGTTGGGGCTGTTCTCCAGCGGTGCTGAGGGCCGCGCCCTCCCATGAATGCTGCCTGTGTTCTCTTCCAGGACGACTCCTCTCCCACTAGCCGGCTTCAGCGTTTGCTGGCGGAGTCCCGTCAGATGGTGTCGGACCTGGAGCTGAGCACCCTGCTTCCCCTCGGCTCCGAGCACCTCAACAGCGGGGACCAAAACGTATGTTCTTGATCTTCTTACGTTAAGTGTCTGGTACCTGAATAATCTGCTGAGCACTGGGTCTGTGATACCAAAATGTCTCATTGAGTGCTGGTCTGTGGTCCTGGACACTGCACTGAGTACTAGGTCTGTGGTCCTGGACTCTACACTGAGTACTAGGTCAGAGTAGATTTTTTTACGGGTGGAGGGACAGCACAGGAGGGGAAGACCCTCTTTGAGGTGGATTGATTCAGTTACTGGGGTAATTGGGATGGGAGTGTCAGAGACAGTGCGATTGGCACAGGATAGAGCAGGGTTTAGGGCTGTTGTACATGGGGTCGCTATGAGTCGCAAACAACTCGACGGCACATAACAACAACAACAAACAACAGTGTGCAGATACACTAGTAGGTCTACTTTTTGTTTTTGAACCAAAGAGGAGGATGTGTGCTTATTTCAGTCGTGGGGAAGAAATTACACTCCAGTGGTGTGACTTCATACTAATTTTTTTCTAGTTACTCTGCCTGGGGCATCTGACTATAAACTCTTGGAAAAATTGGAGAATTGTATAAGTAAATTTACTGCTGTAGAGAATGTATTTGCGATAATGTTTTTATAAGACATTTGCTATATACACCCTCAGACATTAAGGTCCTGCCATGTTCCTTTTACCTTCTGTCCCCACACAAGTACCTTCCTTTTTCCCCCTGAAGCATTGCAGTCAATCCAAGATGGTATATCATTTGACTCAAAAAAGACTTCGGTCTTTATCTCTGACAGTCTACAGCCGTGTGTGTGTGTGTGTGTGTGTGTACAGTAGGCCTGACAACACACTGTTAGAGAACTGCTTCCACATGCACAATCCCGTGACGTTGATGACGTTCTTTTCATGTGCATCCCTTGTCATGACCCTTTTCAGAATCATTCCACCATTAAAAACTCATTGGCTCCTAAGGACAAAATTTCCTTTCGATAAAGACTTTTAGAAAGAAGACACCACAAACTGCTACGACTGTCCCTGACAAAATTGACAGTAACTCCTTAATATCATCGGGTGACAAGTCCATGCTACCTTTTCTCAGCAATGTCTTTCCCTCCTTTAAAGTCAGGATTTACTTCAAGGGTTTCTGTTTTGCAGTCGGCTATGTCTTTTCAAGCCTCTTTGAGGCATTGATAGGTCCTCATTTTTTCTTTTTTTTGTTCCAATTTCTGTTTATTTGTTGAGGAGACACTGGGTCGTTTGTCTGTTAGAGTTTCTCACGAGCTGGGTCTTGTGGACCCTGTCCTAATTGTGTCATTAGCACATTCCTCTGTCCCCCATGTCCTACCCACTAGTGCTCAGCGCTGGGACTTGGTCAGATTCTGGGTGGGTTTGGGTTGGCACGCCTCCTCCATTTGCGGTGCTGTCCCCCCTGCCAGCCTGGCGCATCGGGAACACGGTCCTACTGCCCCACGCTTCCAGTCGGGAACACCAGCCTGACCGTTCACGCGGTGACGTCCCCGGGTGAACTCACATTCGTTGATCAGGATTGTGTGTCATGTTAATCTTTTGGGACTGTGTGGATCTGCTCCACAAGCCTTCTAGCTGGGAATCTTGACAGGAAGGGATTGCTAGATTTCCCTCCCAATATCTTAGGCCGCAAACAGCAAGGCTTTTTTTAGGTTGGAGAGAGAGGCATCTGGGGGGGCAGAGTCCAGGCCGTCAGCAGGCGGCAGGGCCCCAGCCTGCTGGATTTGGAGGCCGCTGGCTGCTTCTTCCAAGGCCAGCATTGTCCAGCGTCGTTGCTGAGAAGCTGGGCTGCAGAGGGCCAACTGAACGCTGACAGTCTGAAGCCAGCAAGTCTAGCAAGCCACTGGCTCGAGGCTGGAGGCCAGATGACCACATGCAGATCAGATGAGGTCTACTTTCATTACTGACTGAACTTTAACAGTTCTTCCCCTTAAAAAATGGTAAGAAACACATAAACCCTGAGTTAAGTGCCCTCAATTCAGCTCCAGTCGAAGCAGCCCCTCTTGTGGGCCAGCGGTAAGGAGTTGTGCTGTCCATACAAAGGCACGTAGTTCTAATCCAGCAGTGGCTCTGCAGGGGAGAGTGAGAAGTGCGGTTTCTAGCCTCTGAAAACCTGCAGAAGGCACACAGCAGCAGCGTGGATGACGGAACAAGATAGTGCTCAGCGACACGCACCCCCTGATAATGTGCCCAAAGCCTGTGGCCCAGACCCTTGTGTCTGTATCACCTGCAGCTCCGTCACCAGTAGGGATCCTGGGGGCTGCAGACCCTCTGCCAGTTAGTGCAGCTTTCCCGAAATACCACGGATGCTAGGCCGTGCCTCGGAGGTCCCGGGGTCAGGACTGCTCCTGGAGCTTGCTAACAAGAGCCCTGGCCAAGAACAGCACGTCCTGTCGTGTCACGACTGTCTGCTCTTTTGATAATTTTAGTTTTGTGTAACATTGACAAATGAGTCCTCAAAAAAATTCCCCGTGGTTTGCAGCATCACACAAATAAAACCTTGTGGCTTAAAAGGGCAGCATGGAAGACGGCTTCCGCGGCCCATCTTTTAAAGAAGACCAGAACATAGCAGGAATAGTAGGACACGTTTAGATGTGTTAAATGGTGAAGAAACACACAAAGCTAAATGTGGCACTTGGCCTTGGAAAAGACCTGCAGGTTCGTAGACTGAGGTGTGGGGAAGTGGTGGGAGGAGGATTTCCTGAAAGGTGGAAAGCCGGCTGTCCATGAGCGAGCTCACCAGGTGGGAGCCAGGTGACTGTCACCGGGAGGAGGTCAGCATCCCCCCGCCTGGCTGTCCCTGGGGTGCACTTCACCTGGTGTTCTCAGGGGGACCCTCACACATACACACACTCACAATTCCCATTGTACTCAGATTGTTCCCTAATGTGGGCTGGAACAAATCTGTCTTCACAACAAGGGCTGGGGCACCATTGACTGCTTGGCGTGAAGAGGTGGACAGACACCGCGCTCCGCGTCTTCCCTTGGGTGGACCTACTGCTCCATCAGTTTTATCCTCAGAGGATGTGTGTGCTTATGTGTCACCATCCCCAAAGGGACCGCTCACAGCTCGTGGTGGTGGGTACATCCACACCCACACACACACACAGGTGTCCGCCTCACCACAGGTGATGGTGGATGACATGCACGTCCCCCCGTGACAGGCACTCTGAGCGCGTGACTGGCTGTAGCACAGGTATACGTCAGCACATGCTCTGTAGACACCTTAACCTCAACTGACATGAGGCGTGCGGGGAAAGTCAGAACAGTGACCCCGGGAGCAGACTGAACACATGCTCCAGCCGTCGGGTCTGGTGGAAACTTGTTGAAGAGTCTGCATGAAAGGACCCCTGGGAGCTCTCTGGCCCAGGCCTGTCACTCAGCAGGTCATGCAGTGATCGGACCTGCTCTGCGTCCCCCGCTTGAGTCAGCTCACCCTTCAGCTGGAAGAATGGAGGCCCCGGACAGAATGTGGATTACAGGATTTCCCCATGGACCGATGGGCAGATCCTGCACATGTTGGCAAAACAGTTTAATGATCTGAAATGTGCTCGACAGCAGGCCTTGTCCCAGCCTGCCTGTTCCGCTGGGATGGCCCTGACGCTGGGGAGGCCGCAGGCAGGCTGGGCCGAATATTCTCTCTGTTTGCGGCATAGAGCAGGGTTCCACCCAGGCTGCCCTGCAGACGTGTGTGTGTGTGTGTGTCCTGGTCCCGACCCTCTCTGGCAAGCAGATTCTTGCGTGGCTGGGGGTCAGGAAGCACAGGTCCTTCTGACAGGGGAGGTGGTGGCAGTGTCCTCTCAAACAAATGCCCCCATGACCAGAGGCTCCTCAGGAGCTCTGCTGCACGTGTCTGCGGGTGTGAAGAGAGGCGCATGGGCGTGTAAGTGCAGCGCTGCGTGTAACAGCAGGAGATGCAGGAGACAGCCGCGGGTCCAGCTCCGAGGAGCCGAGCGGATCAAGCCTGGCCACGCAACACGGGCTCCTGAGACCGCACACAGAACAGGAAGATCTCACATGCGGAGAGTCCTAGAGTCTAATGAGTGCAAAGGGAGCCCTGGCCGTGCAGTGGCTTAAACGTTGGCCTGATAGCCACGCGGTCAGCAGTTCAAACCCAGCAGCTGCTCTTCGGGAGAAGATGAGGCCCCCCTGCTCCGTGAGGGGCTGTAGCCTCTGACACCTCGGAAGCACTAGGTTCTGCTGTGGCTGTGGGGGTCCCTATCAGTCAGAATCGATGGGTTGCCTGGGAGTTTAGTGATTATGAGGGAAAAATGAAACAAAGAGCTGGGAGGCCAGAAAGTATTCTCTTGTCCTAGAAAGGTGAGGGCCTGGAGTACACGTTTGCCCAGGAACACAGTGGGAGGGTCAGAGGGGAAGTGGTCACCTGGACAGACAAGCAGGGCTGACGGGACCTGTGCGGACTGTGTTGGGACCGTGAGATTTGTTAACTGCTGAAAAAACAATAATTAAAAGTGGACAAGAAAAAAAGGGGTGAAAAGAACAGCACAGGTGACCACACAGCACCCCCATGAGATGCCTGCTGGGGAGAGGACCCGCTCACGGCCTGGTGACCCCATGATTGGTGAGGGGTCTGCAGTATTGGGGGCTCTCCCTGCTTCGGTGGCCTGCACGGGCTTGTCGCCGGGCACTGGCGAGGGGGCTCTGACTCACGTGCCAGCCCTGCACACGGCGGGCTCCGCTCTCACCAGCCCTGCTGAGCCAAGCCATCATTCAGGGTCCCCTTGTCCCTCTCCTGAGCTGGCGTCTCTTTCCCTGGAGAGAAGCCCTCCAGGACCTGGTCCCCCTGAGAACGCGCCCAGCGTGAGGAGCGTCCCAGTTGGACTTCTTCCCAGGTGGACGGACGCATTCCTTCCTCCTGAGAGCCCGCAGATGCAGCGTTGTTCACCAGCATCGTAACAGAAGCACATCCAGTCGGGTCTTTCTGGTGCCTTGTCCAGTGACAACATGCATATGAGGAGAATGAAGAGAACGTGGCTTACTCCTCAGCTTTGCTTTTTAACACTAAAAAGGTCGCTTTGCAAGAGATTTTCCCACAGCATTGCGTCCTTTGACTTCCTGATTGCGGTTCCTTTGAGCGTTGATCTGAATCCTTGACACTGTCATTCTTTTTCTCGTTCATTGTCCTGTTACTTACGGGTCTGGCTGTGAGATGCCCGTCTTCCTTATGTGGAGGTGACATCCGAAGGCTGTACTCTTCCAGCTTCATCAGTGGGTACTTCACTCTGCTTTTCTACGAGCAGAGTTGTCTTCTGCGTATTGATGGTTGACGAGTGTCCCTTCAGTCCTGAGGCTAGTTGCCTCACATTGTGTAGCTTCTCCCGACGTTTCCTCCACGTACACGTGAAGGGATGATGCTGACACGCACCTTGCTTGACTGTAAACTGTGTCGTCTACTTTGTGCTCTCTGAACAGGTGTTTCCTGGTCTGTGTACAGGTTCCCCAGGAGCACAAATAAACGTTCTACAACTTCCATTCTTAATGTGCTAAGATCCGCGTAGTCAAAGGACTTTGCACAATCACAAAGACACAGAGAAGCATCTCTGCTATTCTCTGTTTCGGCCAAGATCTTTCCGATATAAGCAGTAATAGCCCTCATTCCTTGCCTTCTTTTGAGTCCAGCTTGAATTTCTGAAGTTTCCTGTCAATGAACGTATTGCCCCAGCCGTTTTTAAATTCTCTCCAGGTACATTGTTTTTACTTGTGTGTGATACGGATGCTCTTCGGTCATTTCTGTCCTCTGTTGACCCACCTTTCTTTGGAAAGGGCACGATTATGTGTCTCTTCCAGTTGGCTGGTCAGATAGATGATTGCCTTCCACATTTCTTAGCGCAGACGGGTGAGCCCCTCCACAGCTGCACCTGCGTGCTGAAGCACCCGGCTGCTGTCCCGTCAGTCCCTGGAGCCTTGTTTTTCACCAGGAAGGTGTGGGTGGGCTCCCCGTCAGCACTGGGGTCCTCCACCGCCCGAGAAGGTGCCCCATTGAGGTGTCCTCCTCGTCACTGTCTCCTTTTTCTTCCCCCCTTCCTTCCTCTTTTTTTTTTTATTTGTCTCTTCCCACACGGAAGCCAAGCACTCAGTCCCTTACACCTCTTAGGATCTGTTGTTTCATCCTGCTGACTCTTGCTTTCCCGGTGGGCTGGCCCCGTAGTCTGCAGTAAGGCTGACAGAGCCAGTGGCTTCCGGGCGTTAACTGAGAGCCGGGGCGTCGAGCCACACACGGCGGATCAGCCCAGACCCACTGCCGTCCGCTCGGTCCTGAATCAGCAGACCTAAAGGACAGCAGGACTGCCCAGCACAGGGTTTCTGAGGCTGTCAGTCTTGATGGTCCCAGGCTGCAGGAGTGGCCACTTGGTGCAGAGCAGTGACCTCCTGGTGGCCAGCTGAGTGCTCTGACCACCCAGCAGAGGAATCCTCTCCCAAGGTTCGAGACAGAGAGCCCTCTCCGAACGGGAGGCTGGCACATCTTGGTTGGCTGAAGGGGGGTTGGTAATTGTGTGAAATGACTTTCTGGTGCTTCACGATTTACCTAAACTCTTTGGAACACATTTCTGCTCGGTTGGGGTCTGGCCTTCCTCAGTCTTTCCTAACCTGAGGGTTGTTTTGTAGATCCTACAGCTCCCGGAAGAGTCCGCTGAAAGAGCCACCTTGGTCAGTAACTGAGGGAAGCAGAGGTCCCGTTGGTGTTCAGGGTGGCTGTGGGTAAGTCACCTTTACTAATCTCATCTCTGGTCACACAGCTGGTGTTTAATGGTTAACTTGGGACCTTTGATAATGTGGGGTCAAGGTCACGCTCTTGTTTGAGCTGTGATTCTTTCTCTTTCACTTGACCTATTTATGCATACCTTTGAAATCAAGTCTGAGCGAAATATTCATGCAAGAGAATTGCAGACGCCCAGCCCCCACTCCCCAGACTGCCATTCTTAAGCCCTGCAAGGTTCTGTCTGAAGAAGACAGTGCCCCCCACCAATGTCCCTTAAAAGATCAAAATGAGGGTTTCAGTATTTCTTCTGAAGGTCTGGAAAGAAGTCTTGACATGGGTTTTGAGTTTGAAAAAGCGTGTTGACCCGATAAGCACTTTGTGGACTTGAGATCTGCCTGTTGAACTTTGCCCGCTGTCATCTCAGGTGTCCTTAGGAAGCCTAAGACCTTTGAAATCTGGGAGCTCGGGACACCCAAGTGGCCTTGCTCCTGCCCTCTCCCTCGCTGTCAGACCTTCTCCCATTTGCTCGACCTCGTGCCGAGGCTGACCGCCTCAGGTCATGTTCTCGACCCCAAGCTTTCAGCCCACAACAGATGCCTATCGATTCTGGCCATAAACTCCAAGCGTTCTCCCTGCAGGAGCCAACTTCTCATGTCATTGGAAGGAGCGAGCAGACACCAATCCTGATACTTCTCCTTGAAAACAAAAAGAGGATTTTCACCTTTTCACCTTTCGTAAGCAGCATCTCACACCAAAGGGGCTCCGAGGTTCCAAGATTTGCACACCTGGTGGTGGTTGTTTTTCGCCAGTTTCATGTGTGAGAAACACTTTTGCAAAGGAGACATGCCCTTGCATTGTGCGGCTCTGGGTAGGAGCTCTGAGAGGAAGGCCTCTTCCGTGCAGAGGGTCGGCTGCTGCGGGCGGTGGCGACTCGGGCCGTTCCGCTCTGGCCCCCTGTGTGTTGGGAATTCACAGGCTGAAGCACCATTGCCACCCTCCGAGGCTTTTAAACCTGTGCTTATGTTTAAGTGACAGCTTATCAGAGTAAGCAAAGGTGTGAGGAATAGTCCCATCTTTTATGAGCTTTAGCTCTGGACTTTGCTCCGTAAATAGATCTCAAGAAGAAATGACTGACAGTTGCTTTTAACTGGACTGTATCTCGGGGTGACCAGCCATTACAGCCCTCCTGACAGCGCTGAGCCAAGCCCCACCTCGCCCCAGCCATTTAAGGAGATGAACGCTCTTTAGAAGATCAAGTTTAATAAGCACTTTTCTTATCATTAAAGACTAGAACACTTTCCTTTTTACTTGTAATTTTATTTTTTCAAGACCACACCGTGTGCCTCTCTGTCTCCTCAGTGAGAATTGATCAGCTTCAGTCAATAAAATTATTTTTCATATTAAAGAGAACGCAATGTCTCTGTGACCCAGGAGTGAAATAGGGGTGGCCAGTGGCATCAGAGGGGACCTGGCCAGGGCTCTTTCTCAGGAGTGGGATTTCTTTTTTTTTTTTTTAATGTTGCGGATCCCAGCGTGTGTTATGCTACATCAGTGCCCCTTTGTTCAAGGCTTCTGTGTTCCTTCCTGGAGGATTTCATGAGAATGGTAGAACCACCCCACTTAGCCTTTTAAATTAGGGTGCTGAAAAGAGAAATTGGGTGAGGTGGGGTATGGCCGTTAGCAAGGCTGGCTTTCTCCAAGGCAGGTTTGTGAAGATCGCGGCTGAGGAGGGTAGAGTTAATTCTGAACCACAGTCTGCCAAGTAGGAAACGGAAAATGTCCCCAGAGAGGCAGAGTGCCAGTGTGAAGATCAGAATAGTCCATTTTCTCCATCTCCTTTTGATTTGTTGGTGGCAGTGCATCGGCTGGCCTGGTGAAACTGGAACACTGATTAAGGCTACGCGGGCGCCTCTCAGGGAACCAGAGGATTTTTTAAAAAGTCAAACATTATTTTACGACAAATTAAACTTCCGCTCCTAGGATCGCGGCCTCGCTGACACCTACGAAAATAGCAGATGTCCCACTGGTCGAGCTCTCAGGTGCTGCGGGTCTGGTTCCAGACTCACCATAAAGCAAAGTATTGCAGCAACTCGAGTCCCAGGCCTCACTTTCAGTGTCTGTCCTCGTACCTGTCTAGGCACAGGAATCCCCAGTGCGTGGGACAGTGGTGTTCACGGTCATCGGTGACTGACACAGGGCCGGCCACTGTGTGAATGACCAAAACGGGACCCGGGGGCACCAAGGAGCACGGGCAGCACCCCTTCCCCTCCGGAAATGCTGAAATCCCACGCCCACCGAGCGCAGGAGCAGGAGGGAGGGCTTTAGACCTGTCCCAAGAGAAGTTCTTTTTCTTGTTGCATGCTTTGAAAGAGTTGCAAGGCAAAACAAGATTTTCTCAGGGAGCTCTGGTCGCAAGAAGCTGCACTGCAATCCCAGAGGTGAGCGGTTCGGATCCACCAGATGCTCTGCTGAAGAAGGAGGGGCAATCTCCTCCTGTACCAGTCAGACAGACAGACAGACAGACACACACACACACACACACACACACACACACACACACACACATTTAAAACAAAACAAAGCTAGATTTTCTCCCTTGTATTTCACCACCTCCTTCAAGAGGAGATGATGGAATTATACTATCGTTTGTCTGCCAGACATGATCTCAGCCAATGAAAGAAAGACTTCTCGGGACATTTTCAGAATTGATGGACAGATCTTTCTGAAGCACACCAGCAAGCCCACTGTCATCGGGGTCACTTCTGACCAGGAGGAAAGGCCAGAGCTGCCCCTCGGGGTCCCTGGAGCAGCGGTCAGTCCTGGCAGCAGCGGACGCCCACGGGGCACGCCCTCTGCCGGGTTTGAGTTACTGACCGAGCAGCTCACAGCTGAGCCCGCCGTGCTCCGGAGCTCCTCAGACCGTTTCAGTTAACACTGGAGTGCTCTGTAGGGAGGGGAACGGGGTCACCAAGGCAGCTGTACCTACGAAGGCGCAGGGCAAAGCCCCTGATGCACACAGTTCCTCAGGGCTCAGGAAAGTGGCAGATGATGGAGACCTTGGACTCCACGGAGCCACTTGCTTCTAAAGCATCAGGGCCTTGACTTGAGGGGGTCCCCTCTGTGCTAGACACCTGGAGCATGGGGACTGTCCTCCAGTGGTTCTCTGAGGTTCCTCTTCAGCTATTTTGGAGGGTTATTGGGAGACCTGGTGGTGCAGCGGATTAAGCATTAGGCAGCCACTCACTCCGGCAGGGCAAGAGCTGTACCCAGGGAGATTTACAGCTTGGAGGCCTGTCCTTCCGGGTCACGGTCAGAAGCAGCTTCATGGCAGTGGGGTTTAGCTCCCCAATTACTACTCTCCTCAACAGAAAATAAGGAGCCCCAGTAGCACAGTGTTTAAGGCGTTTGGCTGCTAACCCAATGGCTAGTTGTTCAAACCCACCAGCCCCTTCCACGGAAGGAAGAGGAGGCCGTTGGGAGCCCTTGGGGGAGCCCTCCAGGGCAGGGCAGGTCTGGCCTCCAGGGTTGTGATCAGGTCATCAGCGGTGGGGTTTAAGGTGGCACCCCAGGAAGATCCTTCCTCTAGGCTTCACCCCAGCCCATCCTGGCAGCCTCTTCTGGTGGTGAGAAGAGTCTGGAGAACAGTACGCAGACGGACACTTCTCAGGACAGCATCCAGCCAGGTAGGTAGGAAACCGGGCCAGCCTTGGAGCGGCGTTTATCAAAGGAGAGTTCACACGGCCAGGCCCTGTGAGCGAGTGTCTGTGTGCTCAGCCAGCTCAGAATGGGACAGTGTGTCTGCCTCAGAGATGCAGAAAGGGGGTGCAGTGGTTCATGTGACTGTTAACCAAAGGTCAGGGGTTTGAACCCACCCACAGGACAGAGATGAGACAGTCACTAGCACACGGCCTTGGAGAGCCTGTGGGCAGGTCGGCTCTGTCTTGTAGCTTTGCTTGGAGTCAGAATTGACCCAGTGGCCGTGGGTTTGGGGATATAAGGGAGAGCAGAGCAGAGTGATTCTTGCTCATAGGTTATGGGGGGAAAACAGACATTCTTGTGTGAACAAGAAAAAGAGTTTGAACTGTGAATATTCTCTAATACTAATTCTTTTTCTTTTTGCTCTTGAGTTCAAGTGTTGTTGTGTATCTGCTTAAAAATGCCATGTGACACTCATCATGTCCATGTGTCCAGTAAATTTTCATTTTTCAATAGAAATTAATTGCCTGTGTTTCAACAGTGTGGTGGGGTGGTACCCTATCCCAAGTTTTTCAGGACTCACCCGTAATCACACAAATGGTCATTTAAAGCTGGTCAGCGTTACGAAATAAAGGTTACAGGGGCATGAGAGCAGAGTAGGGCCAGAAGCCAAGGGTGGAGAATTCAAGGAAGGCTTCCTGGAGGAAGTGACATCTGAACTAACCTGAAAAATGAGAAGATGCAAATGACAAGACAAACAGGAGGAGCAAGAGTCTTCCAGACAGAACAGTCAGCATATGCAGAGGCCCTGGGGTGGAAGGAACAGGATGTGTCTGCACTCCTGCTGGACCAGGATGGTGCAAGAGGAAGCCTGGGAGAGAGGCGGGGGCCAGAGCCTGCCCGCTTGTGACTGAGGCAGTGGGTGTAGCACGCACCTTATGCGATTAGCCTGTGATGTAAACCCTGCTGACTGTCATCTTGGAGTTTCCTTAAAATAAAGTCTGACCCGTATCCCAGATGGGGAAAGCATTAAAACAGACTACTGAGGACCTCAGAATACCCGAACAATGGTACCCTAGTTCTGATCACATGGGGACTTGCAGGCAGTCAGTGACAGTGCCAGCGCTGGAACCAGGTGTCTCTCCTGAAGGTGTCTGAGAGTTGAAGCATGAGGACGTGGGCGCAGCAGGCACACGCCTTCAGGAAGCTCACCACTTACAGAACTGGTTCACTCGCCCTGCATCTGGCACGCACTGCCGGACCATGGTATCCTGCTAGGTACCAGGGATCTAAGAATGAGTAGCACAAGGGAGTCTCTGCCTGTTTGGGGCTCAGAATCTTACCTCTGAGCAGAGTCGTCGTAGTTCATTAGAGATGTGTTAGCACTGTGTTCCGGGTCACCAACGAGCAGTGTAGTGACTGTCTACAGCTCATAGCACAGGTGATACTTGTTTGAAATCAGGTAGGACTGGTCTTGTGAACTTGGGTTCCCTTTTTCACCTTTGAGGCCATTTCCTTGTCTGTGATGATACCACTGCCAAGTTTAAGCCCACCCTCATCTGATTGAAGAGAACACGCAAATACATCTTGGAGAGGGTGCAGCCGGAGTGCTCTTTGGAGTCAAGGATAATGAGGCTTTGCCTCACATACTTCAGGGATGTTGCTAGGAAGGGCTATTCCTTGGAGAGGGACATGATGTTTGGAAGGGTGGAGAGTTGGCCAAGAAGAGGAAGACCGATGACCAGGTGGATTGACATGGTGACGGCTGCAATGGGCTCTAACGTGTCAGGAAGTGTGAGGATGGCGCAGGATAGGACAAGGTTCAGAACTGTTGTTCATAGGTTCACTATGAGTCATAGTTGACAGCACCTAATACCAGCAATAACTTCTGATTCAGATGCACTGCCCTCCATGTGGGGTTTCTAAGGCCGTGAGGTTATGGGATCTACCCCGTGTACCGCTGCTCTGTGGGGGTTCCAAGGCCATGAGGTTATGGGAGTGGCCCGTGTAACAGTGTACATACAGCTGCCCCGTGGGATGGTGTACGGCTGTTCTCTGGGTCATGGAAACTGACCACGTCGTCTTTCTTCTGCAGAGGCTGGTGGGTTCTGACAGCTGACCTTTTGGTTAGCAATCAACTGCTTTAACCACGTTAACTGTAATCCTGTTTACCGGATGCTGAGCACAGTGCCTGGCACAGGGCAGCCAGCTCTGTTACCTTTGGGCAGTTGCCCCCCCCCCCCCATCACTGCATGAGATGTTTGGTCACAGGGGGATTGTGGCCCACTATTAAAGAAGATGCTGGCTGGGTGTGACATCAGCTGGAGGAGGGCTTTGCAGGACTTGGTGAAAGGGTTCTGAGAGAGGCTGATGCAAAGCAAACCAACCCCTTTATTCCATAGATGTTGACAAGGTCACTGAGGATTAGAAATAATAGCAAAAAGGGCTTAGCCTAGTGGCTGGCAAAGACATTCATTAAAAACCAGCATTTGTTATTTTTCTATTGTTATTTCAGTAAAGCCGCTTGTCAGCGTTTGGAATGAGCTTTTCTTTTGAAAGAAGGGTGTGATTAGCTTTTCTTTTTAAGGGAACCCCTTACTATCTCTGGTAGGGTATTTCTCACCTATGTGCTGATAGAGGACTCCAGAAACAATAGCAGACGCTGGGAGTGGAGGGAGAGCAGAGTTTTATACAAACTCAGTCTTGCGGCCAATAACTTTAAATGCCTACTCATTGCAGTCAGTAGGAACCAACTGAGAGTAGGTTTTGAGAGGCTCTAAATAGTACTGGAGGAGATGCACATCTTTCTCTCCCAGAGCAGCTTGGTGGATTCAAACCACCTGACTTTGGGTTGGCAGCACAACTTCTTACCCACTCAGTTCCTTAATAGCAAGCCTATTTTTATGAAGTCTTGGGCCACCTACATATAGTAAGTGTATACTTTTGGCCAACTTTGTGTGTGCAGTCTGTCATTGCATCCTTTTTCTTTCCATCCCCTAACCCGGCTACCCTGAGCACTGGTGAGGTGGCTGTACATGGAGCCCCCAGAGTCTCTGAGAATCTGTCCCCCAGCCCCGTGCTAGGAGCAGCTGTGGTAGCCTTAGAAATGCACCAAAAGGGCATTCGAATGTTTATTTGTGGAATCTTGACACAGAAAATTCATACAAGACAAAAAAGAGTGGTGGTGGTTGGTTGTGTTTCCACCAGCGAGTCTCCTGGAGAACACACTTTCTCGATTACCCAGACGCTGGCTGAGTGTGCACTGTTCTCAGTGGGCTCGGGGTGGAGGGGGCACAACTAACCAGACCTGCCTTCAGCGTGGCAGGTGAAGGGACAAAAACTTTCTGCGCAGCCTGGTGGGGGGCATGGAGTGGATGGAGGTCAGAAAGGTTGGGGCATTAGGGGTGGAGGGAGCAGAAGGGTGGGGGACATGAAGAGTGGAGGGGGTAGAAGGGTGAGAGGCATAGAGTGGAGGTCAGAAAGGTT